ATTTCACCATCACTAACATCACGGGTTTCCAAACTCTGTCCTGGAGGGCCGGTGTCTTGCAGATCTTAGCTCCAACTTGCTTCAACACACCTGCAAGGATGTTTCTAGAAAGTCTAGTAAGAGCTTGATTACCTAGCCCAGTTGTGTCTGATTGGGGTTGGAACTAAACTTTGCAGGACACCAGCCCTCCAGGACCGAGATTAGACATGCCTGCTGTACTTGAAGGATGAGGGAGCTCTCAGATTTCGTCTAAATTATATTAATTTGTGATCAGAAGATGAAGGTCTCAGGGTTTGAAACAAAATGAATTAATAACAGAATAAAAATTTTGGGGGGGGGTGAACTAACCCTTTAAGCTGAACTTGCAGGCTTGTTTTTTTTATACTGAAAAAAATGTACAAAAGCACGCACATCTCTCTTAATTGGGTGCTCAGCCAAAACCGCAAAAAGTGCAAATTAAATGTAAATCAAAGGCGGCAACACCAAGGCTCCAAAAATACAAGTTTATTCAATTAAAAAGGCTGACACAGAGCGTGTAACGTTTCGAGCCGCCGGCTCTTCATCAGACAATGTTTATCACAATCAGGTGCTTCTTTTATACACTTCCGGATCACATGATCTCCTCTCACATATTTGTCAACATATACATACATGCATATGTATACATACACAGTCGTTCATATATACATATACATACACATGAATACGTATACACATTTACATATAGTCTATAGCTTTGATATTATAAATCAAATTACAAAAAAAAAAAATATATATATATATATATATAAATACATAAATAAACTATAATATTGCATCACAAATTATAATACAGAAAAATAAATAAATAAGGGAAAAAAATAAATAAATAAAATATATAATAATAATAATATATATATGATACACCAGACTATACAACAAAATATAGCCAAAAAACCTTTAAACCAAACCCCTATTAAACCTTCATTCATTCATTCATCATTCATTCATTGTCTTTTCGGCTTAATCTCTTTATTAGTCGGGGCTACCACAGCGGAATAAACCGCCAACTCGTCCCACACACTTCCCCGCAGCGGGCGCCCCTCCAGCCGCAACTCATCTCTGGGACACTATTACATAATAAAGACTTATTAAAAAATTATTACAGAAAAGGACGAATGTCAAACTCCTCATTTAAACCTTTTGGAGACAATGCGTCTAAAGTGAAAATCCAGAAAGCTTCGCGTTGCAACAGCAATTTATTAAGATCACCGCCCCGACGTGGACACTTCACAACTTCAATCCCTATATATTGTAGAGTAGAGACGGAATGTCTCATAACTGAAAAATGTTGCGCAACCGGACTTCTGGGATCCTGTTGTCAAATAGCGCATCGATGTTCAGAAATACGAATTTTTAAAGGTCTACTCGTCTTACCTACATAACATAAACCACACGGGCACCGCAGCATATAGATAACGTTCGCTGTTTTACACGAAATAGTGCCTCGAATATTACATTTTTCCGCTGTATGCGGATGTGTGAAAGTAGATGTTTTATATGTAAAATTACACTGTAAACAATTGTCACATTTAAAATTACCCTGTAGTATGGTGTTTTAAAAATGTGGAGTGGGTTTTAGATCAGCTCTTACTAGCATATTTCGGATATTAGATGTTTTTTTGTGTACCAAACGGGGTGACTTATCAAAACACTCTTTGAGGGTGGGATCACTTGAAATATTATGCCAGTGTTTTAACAGCACTTTATTGATGTCTTTAGTCACTTGTGAATATTTCATATAACAAGTAATGCGACGATCATGCTTTTTTGTTACTTTTTTAACTGAGCTTTCTTCTTGTGACATATCTTTGAAGCGATCATGTGAAGACTGTATCCACTCCTTATAAGATCGTTCTCTAAATCGTTCTCTAATATCAAAGCTATAGACTATATGTGAATGTGTATAAGTATTCATGTGTATGTATATGTATATATGAACGACTGTGTATGTATACATATGCATGTATGTATATGTTGACATATATGTGAGAGGAGATCATGTGATCCGGAGTGTATAAAAAGAAGCATCTGATTGTGATAAACATTGTCTGATGAAGAGCCGGCGGCTCGAAACCTTACACGCTCTGTGTCAGCCTTTTTAATTTAATAAATTTGTATTTTTGGAGCCTTGGTGTTGCCGCCTTTGATTTACATTTGTTTTTTTTATACACCAATAATAAACAGCTTCTTTGACTATCATTATATACAGACGCACCCTATCCCTTTAAACTGGCAGTATAAAGATGCCCGCAAGCTGTTTTTCGAAACTCCAAAAATCGACGACCCAGTCCTGGCCTGGAGTGAGCCTGATGAAGAAGGTCTGGTGCAGTTCCTGTGCAAGGAGAAACCTTTAAAGTATGCCTACATATTCTAGTATTATAGAGTGTTTGCCATTAATTGATGTTTTTAGATGTATCTTTCTTTTGGTATGTGAACATATTTACTGTTTTTCAGGGAAGAAAGGGTGCGGGGACGCATGAAGAAGTTTCGCGAGATGCTCCTAAAGAGAAGGAAGCAGAGGGAGGTGAATATGCAAATGGGCCAAACTAGACAATCACGCCTTGAAGATTTTTTCCCTGCCACGAGGAAGAGAAGGGTAAGATTTAACATTAAAGAAGTATTATGAATTTATCCCTTTCTTGAATATTGTATCCAACAATCTTGATCTCCCCCTCTAGGCTGAATCTGCTGCTGTAAAAGAATCAAGTGGGAGAAAACAATTCAAAATTAAATAAGACGGACCTTTTAGATCTTGGATCTTGGATCTCAAAGCATTGATCAAACCATCATGTGGACAGAAGAGTCAAATGTGTGATGACTTGAAGAAGTTTGGACTGCCTTTTTACTGAGTATTTTATTTTGTTCAAATGGCAATGGTAAACCATTGCCAAGAAAACCTATTTTTAATTAATGTTTGTATCATGTACAACAAAGGTGCTAATATTTGAGAGCCTGTAAAATCAATGCTTTAGAAAACATCTTAAATAATGTTTGTAACGACAAAAAAAGTAAACCTCTGTTTATTTCCAAAGATATTCCCTGCCTCATCATTTGCTAATACATTATTATAGTAGCAAACAATATTACTGTGGCTTTTGTTTAAGGAAGCTCCATACATTATTGGCTGTGAACATTGTAAGGCTTGAAGCTTACTACTTGCTATTCTGAACCAATAATCGGAAACAGAAAGCAGTTGAAAGATGGTGTGTTTAAATCCATTATTTATCTGACTCCATTGTAATTAATCTGACTCCATTAAAGATGTTATCATCGTTGATAAAGAGAAAGAATCTCTACGCCTTAAAGCAGGCAAAGTTGTTTATTAAGTTACATGTTTAAATATACACACAGTAGAATGAAACAAACTAGCATACTGTATAAAGAAATTAGCTGTAATATATGCACTGCTGAGCAACAAAGACAGTGAAACTGCCTTTGTTAGCATATGAGGCTACGCACTGGTGTGCGGGAGATGCAGAGTAAAAGCCATTCTCCAAGATCAACAGTTACCTTTCCCTATTATACCCTGAGCAAAGCATTGTCAAACATGAATGAAAACCAACCCCCAAAACCAGCTAAACGTGAGAGCAAAGTTGAAGAGATGAAGTGGGGGAGAAGTACAACATACTCTCCTCAGGCCATGACCCAACAAGAGTAAATATATTGTAGATTGAAATACAATTAATCAATGTCTCTGTTGATTTCGTCACTACAACACTGAAGTCATAAACTGTCAAATGACACCAAACATGACAAAGTTATCCGAAGGAAGAACACAAGCAGATGAATTGTGTATGGTGAAGAGCACATGGTTACTGCAAGCAAATGGCAGAGATCTGTATTGGAGCTGTGGGGAACTCTGCCTCACCAGAAGGATCCATCCCATGCTTGGAATGTCTCAGTAGTCCTTCATTAGCATAGAAGGAAAAGTATATAATATTTTTTCAGCTTACAACATACATGTTTTATTTCATGAGTGTGAAATCGGTATGTGATATTGTGGTGCTGAGATTGGTGCTTGGAGGCTTCACACGGGCCCAGTTATCTCATGTCCAAAAATTAAGTCTTCACTGTGACTGTTTTTGTAGATTTTGCAGAGGGTTGACTAAATATGACAAGGGACCACAAGGGCTTTGGGGCTTTAACAAATTTAGCCCCTTCTTTTCACGTTTGGTGTCAGAGTTTTGAGGAAACCATACTACAGAGATTTAAAACAATATTAAAGAGCCATCTGAGACCCCCAAAAAGACGTTCCATGCCAATGTATGTTTTTAAGTTAAATCCTGTAAATCTGGGACCACTTCAGGGCTTTGAGTCTGTTGATGGTGTCCATTTTCAGCCCACTATCAACAGAGCTCTTGATAAACTTTTAATAATTTAGTGATATTATTTATTATACATGTATTGTCAAACAAGGAAATGGTGTAACAAAGCGTTACTGTTTGTATTTAATCCATCCATTCACAAACTGCAAAGTTAATCATTTATTTGGACAAAGTAACAAAGTGATAATGCAATGTCTTTTTTAACTTTTGTATTTTTTAACTTTACAATACTGTGGTCATTTTTCAATCACCCTGATAAGTTCTGTACACACCATGGAGTTTGCATGTGGTAATTATCATGATATCACCATGTTTTGGGGCAGAATGTGACATGATGGCAGTGTCATTGTGTTAGTTTCAAGTACAATGAAGGATATACTATAAAGCGTGAATGCTATCATCACTCAGTACCATGCTGTCACCACGTCGTTAACTTATATAAAAGTCTAAATCTTATAAATAACGTGTTTAGGCTATGTGCCAGCAGCGGGGTCTCGTCTCCATTGCAGTAGATGGCAGTATCGAATCGAGCCCCCTGTGGACGCGCTGCATCAGTCCAGTGAACAACAGGACGTTTATGGCTATTCCTGGCTGTCCTATGTGGAACGATTTTCCTTCGCTGCCGGGCGTGTATATGCTCTAGATTTACCCGTACCGAACAGCTCGACCTGCCCCAGCCCTTACTCCTTAATTATTCGGTGATGGCCGCGAGTGCCAAACGAAAACAGGAGGAGAAGCACCTGAAGATGCTTCGGGAGATGACCAGCCTGCCTCCCAATAGGAAATGCTTTGATTGCGACCAGCGCGGCCCGACCTACGTCAACATGACAGTGGGCTCGTTTGTGTGCACCACCTGTTCCGGAATACTGTAAGTTTATAACGAGGGCAGTCATATTCACACAGATGGTGTATGAACTTGTTGTTTTTTTCCCATGAGTCTGTACGGGCAGACGCCTAACAACCCCTCCCATCCGAGAGCTCATCTGCAGGATGTGTCCCAGCTGTCTCTTTAACATCTTCTGAACATCAGCTTTCACTAAAATAGCTGGAGATTCGGAGCCAAAGCAGCTGAACTTCATTCTAATGTTCACGGAGGAAAGCGTGGCGTTCGTGCTTCATGGCTGGATGTGAGATTGTGTTCAAAAAGTACTGTATCAGTGTGTGACACACCCATGTTTAAACAATTGCGAGTTCTTATGTTTAGTTTATTATCATAACTAAATGAGCTGGAGAAGCTATATTATTATTTATTAATGATTTTACAAGTGGAAATCTCTGCATTGTATTAACGTACTGGGAATAGGGCCCCTGGGAGCACATACATGTAGGGACTCTTAGTTCAATGCTCAGTCAGTTTGTGCTTTATGTTGGTGTGATAGAACAGGGGCCATCAGTGACCCCCATGGAGGCCTGCAGAAGATGATGCTGCATTTTATGATCCCAAATCAAAAACACCACCCTCTGTGTAGTTATCTTTTTAGAGACGTTTTGCATACAAGTTTTGACTGAGTATGACATAGGCAGCTATGAAGTGCACAAGGGCTCAATTTAGGATCCTATGTCAATAATGTAATCTTTAATGTCATAAGTTCAACATTCTACAGAGAATTGACTAAACATGGGCCACCAGGTCTTCACACAGGCTCAAAAGCTGGCCCTAAATAGCCACAAAGGATGGCAGTGTTTTAAAGATATTGTAGCACATTTTCAGTATTGGTACATTTTAAAATTTGCTGACGATTCTGAAATTGTTAGTTTGTTAAGTGAGGAAGACTGTACGCGCGGTCCTGTAATTGATTATTTTTTCAGCTGGTGTCAGGAGGCTTTCTTACAAGTAAATTTTCTTAAGACTAAATAGATGACTATTGATTTTAATTGTGAGAGGAGACTGATTAAGGGTAAGCAAACAAGTATTAATGGAGTTGGTGTTGAGATTGTTGATCAGTATAGGTATTTGGGAACAGTTTTAGATAATAAATTGTCCATTTCTATTAATACTAATATGTTGTGTAAAAAGGGGCAACAAAGACTATACTGTTTACAAAAATTAAGATCTTTTAATAAAGATAAGTCACTCGTGCATGATTTACAGCTTATACATTCAGTCGCTGTTATCCTTTTCTTTGCTTTGTTGGTTCAATACTCTAAGTGTGGAAAATAAAAGTTGTTTGGAGAAAGTTGTGAACCTAAAAGAAATAAAAACCGGCATGACCTTGGCTCAATTATACCATAGACAAGTTTTGAGTAAAGCTCAGAGTATTCTGTCAGATGATTCCCATCCTATGCACCACAAGTTTTATCTTCTCCCTTCTGGTATTCGATACAGAACTCCTATTAGTAAAACAAATCGGTTTAAACTTTCATTCATCCCCTCAGCTGTAAAGTTTTTAAATTAAGGCTAGAATTTGTATTGTATAATGTGCTTTTGTGTATTATGTTTGACATGCTTGTATGCTGCAATCAAATTGCCTTCGGGAAATTAATAAAGACTGACTGACTTACAGAAAATTGAATAAATATGACAAGGTAAAAAAGATTGAGGTAAAGTTGGTTTTATATTGACACATTCGGTCTTTCCCCTTAATAATATTAATAAATGCATTTTCAGAAAAGTGTTCTTTGCAAATTCTAAATGGTGAAATCATATTAACAGACTGTCAAAGTATTGTTCACAACCAAATAAATAGTGCTAAAGTTAATGTTGTTTTGAAGTCATACCATGGTAAACAATATAGGGAGCAAGCCACAAGTTGACACTGAATCATTGTGCGAATATAAAACCAACTTTACCTCAATGCAAAAAAGGCATCTCTGACCACACCGAACATAAACAATTAATTATTTCCAAGCCACAAATTTTAAATTTGTCAAAACAAACAAAATACCGCTGTATACTATACTTATAATTTTTATTTGCAAAACAAATGCAAAGTAATCTGTTCTGGCTAAAGGTTTCAGTTCACCCGTTAACTACACATAAATGGGGAGTTAATCTCCCTTTAAAGCAACGTTATTGTAAAAAAATGATCATTAAACCATGTTAACGCAAAAGAAAGCAGGTAAAAAACACACCATGTGATAATGAAAGTATGATCACAAACACACACGGTTAACGTTAGACCCATAAATAATCTGTTCAAAGAATGGTTTAAGCAAAAGCAAACTGCTTACAAAAAGACGAATCTCGTGCTTGTTAAAGCAGCAAGACTGTGGGTGCATGAGCATTACTTTTTGTCTTGTCTATTTGAAAGCGAGCCAATCACATCAGTTGTGTTTCTAGACACAGTTGCTTCATGCAAGGAAACGGTAGCGCGCTCTCATTTTAAGCAGTCGCACGTCACCCCAGCTGTTAGCACAAGTGATTATCCTTTTGCGCGATTATTTCTGTCAGTCACGCTACTTCTCATTTCTAAGACCTTTCTAAGGCCTTTGCATGCATATACTTCTAGCGCAAGTGATTATCCTTTTATTCGTAATTCACTTGCTTTCTACTGCTCGCGTGAATGCAATTATTTTTGTCAGTCGCGCTGCTTCTCATTTCTAAGACCACCCTTGCATGCATATTGGACCATCCTTATTGTCAAACCCTGCTTTTAAGTATTATTATCTGGGAAAATTATTTTCACCCAGCCAAAGTGGCTAGTGGGAGTTTCTGTCTTACCTGCAATGGCTGAAATCTACCCTCATTTGGTGGGTTGGCGTGTGTTAATGTTAAGCCTTGTGTCCAATACAAAGTCTTGGGGTTCTCAACAAGGTTTCAGTTCAGCACCTTGAGTCAGAGTTGGGAATGTTGATATTGTTTTGTTTTTATGATATTGTGTCTATTTTAGCCTTTTCTTGTTTTTTGGTTGAGTCGTTATGCTTTATTAGACTAAGGTTTTTTATTTATTGCTTAAACTTAAAACTTATAAATAAATAGGACCACGCACTAATTATGCATGACTAATGAAAGTAGGGCTCTGAAACATGCAAGTTTTCGAACTTGTCTCTGCAGTCATTGATGTTCATGTCATTTGATTTGTACCCCAGACGAGGCCTCAACCCTCCACACAGAGTGAAGTCCATCTCTATGACAACTTTCACCCAACAGGAAATTGAGTTCTTGCAAAAACACAGCAATGAGGTACAACACACTTTAACACAAATAGAGCATTATGATATATGCACATACAGAGATTTCTTCAAGTAGTCTCTTGCTGTCTGTTTTGTGCTCAGCTCTGCAAACACATTTGGCTGGGGCTGTACGATGACAAGAGCTCTGTGATCCCAGATTTCCGCGAACCTCAAAAAGTCAAAGAGTTTCTTCAGGAGAAATATGAGAAGAAAAGATGGTAAGGAGATTCATCCTTTTCATAGATATTTTTTGATGAACTTTTTTGAGATGTATTTTTGTGTAGTTTATTGTTGATGCTTTGTTTGCACGTCTGATGAGATAGATTTGCTCTTTCAGAAGCATTCATCCCTTTATATCTATAGTGTTTATTCTGCATTGCACATCTCATTTGCTTTGTGTGGAGTGATGTTAAGAGTTGCAGAACTGAATTATGGGTTCATCAAGTTGCATTGGGTTCATTGCTTGTGGCAGAAGTTGAATACTTTTTTACTTTTCAAGTAGGGCTGGGAGATTTGACATAAAACCTAAATCTCCATTTATTGAACATTTAAACACTATTATGATTAATGAACGACTATTTTTATTTATTTATTAAAAAAAAATTTGCCCTCAAAGTTCATTGATTTAGTGAAAATATATATATAAATATATATATATATATATATATATATATATATATATATATATATATATACATATACACACTCGCATGTAATGTGCTTAAAATGGAAAAAGTTGACCTGGAAAAATTTAATGGATTAAAGGTTTTGAATGTTGATGTCGATTAATCGCCCAGCCCTATTTTCGAGCGCCAATGCAGGTATCAGCCAGTTATATTGCTTTATGCTTTATCCATCAAGTGTTAACGCTGAAGCCTTTTATATGAGTGTAAACCAGGGGTGCCCAAACTTGGTCCTCGAGGGCTGTTGTCCCGCAAACTTTTCAGAATTGGACAGCACCCGTGCACTCAGCTCGCATGCATTTTTAGCATTTACTCACTGTCATATCTGACTGTATTATGTGAGATCATCCAACAAGATGTACATTTAATCACTGTTTGTGTTTTGACAGTTCAGGCATAAAGAAAACAGGTTGCACGCTGTTTGAGGGAACTTAAGTCATGCTGGCATTATGTGACTCAATTGTTCTCTCTCTTTGTCTGGTACTCCAAATAAAAAAGTGTGGGAAAAATTCTTCTAGCTTATACCATGCCCTCTATTCTCTGCAAAGCCTTTTTCAGATACAATTGCAACCGTTTCAAGCATAACATTCAAAACATGATTTTTTAGGCATTAAATAATGGTGTAAATCTGTAATTTGAGGAGTGCAATTGTTAGTTAATTGTATTTGCTGATTAATTTGAATACTTCCCTCCCATAAAATGTGTGAACAACCAGAAAATCCTTCCAATTCATATTCAGTAAGTTGAAACACAAAAAGCTACAGTTTTCTGTGCATGTTTAGTGAATACAGACAGAACTTTTTTAATTCCAAAAAAGACTATTGAGCAATTCCAGTGTTATGGATGTCACATTTACAGTAAAAACTCAAAACATATATTCACATAGAACGTACATGTTAACGTTATATTGAAACATCTGTTTATGTTTTTTCAAAGAACTAACCACAGGACCAGAAAAATATCAATCTGTAAATGTTTTTTATGTTTATGTTAAATAAGGAAAATCAACACATTTTAATTAATGCCGCTTTTGTGATTTTTGTAAATCAAATAGAATTGATTGTAAACATTGACAGAAATATTTTTGGGTATTTTTACAGTACTTTAAAATACAAGCATACACAATAAACCTATAAAGGGTTTCGCTATTTTAGTGAAAACTAAATGGCATGGTTGACATTTTCATGGAATTGCTCAGTTATTAATTCTGACCCCTGGTCTTTTGAATCATTTTATTTGTAAAAACACTCATTGTAAATTTTGTTGAATGAATTTAAATGTAGACATAAATGCATATAGGTCTATATGTATAAATGCTGCTTTAGACTCTAGAAACTTGATTTCCTTCCTGGAGATTTTCTTATGCCAGTTTTTACCGGATAAAAATAACATTACATTGCATTGTTTAATTGCTCCCTTTTTATTTTTTAGAGCAGTGTATTTTGGGGGCTGTTTCCTATAGTAAAACATATTGTCCTTAATAGGGAAAAGTTTTTATTTAGCCAAACATTTAAAAAAAAAAAAAAAGAAGTTATTTTAGAGCAGTGATCACAGTATCATGATATAGAGAAACTGATATTTTCATTCAAGGTTATCATACTGTCAGATACCTAAACCGGCTTATGCCTACTCGCTACGTTATTAAATATGCTAACACTCAATTTAAGTCTATTAAACCTATTCAAAATCTCATTATAAAGTCCCCAGGGAGCCTAAAGTAATCATAGCCTTTGGTGTTGACCTAAAAATTGACAGCTCTGTTATTGTGCCATCATCAATTGCAGGTATGTTCCCCCAGAACAAGCCAAGGTTTTAGCCTCAGTGCAGGCCTCGATATCTGGTTCATCAGCTAGCAGCACCAGCAGCACCCCAGAGGTTCTTCCACAGCCCCTCAAAACCCTGCATCTCACCAAGACTCCTTCTAACCAGGTAACCACACACAACCATTTTGTTCTTTCGTTCAGAAACACAGAACGGTTTGTTCTTCTCAGTAAATCCAGGTTATGTGCTGTAACTACCCGCATTTCCCTCTCAGTCCCCAGTGATCAGTCGTGCTCAGTCTGTAGGCCAGGAGAAAAAGTTTGACCTCCTCTCAGACTTGGGTGGAGATATTTTTGCTGCCCCTCAAGCTCAAACTGCCGGCTCTTCAAACTTTGCAAATTTTGCACATTTTAACAGGCCCTCAGGTAACCATTTGTTTTTTTCAATTATGTATGAGGGAGAATCATATTTAGAAGCTGTGGCTTGTCATAAGTTCCTTTAATTCTTTCACCGCTGCTTCTCATGTTGTAGCATTTTTGTTGTTCACCTAAAGGGATTGTCCACCCAATCAAATAATTCCGTCATTATTTACCAGACCCTCCCGGAATCCACGATCCATTAAATCCAAACAGCTCCTATCAGAATTCATGCTGCTTTTATATCCTTCTGTAGACAAACATTTGCCACACTTCTGCACTCATGAGAGTAGTTTCCAAGATTCTGAAGGACTTTTGAAGTTCAAGTTCAAGACAATTCATCACCTTGGAATTATAAGGTTCTTTCTGCGTTCTAAATAAATTTGAGATATCAAGCTTCAAAGTTTTTTGCATTTCATATAGCAAACAATATGTTTGTAACAGTTCTCTTTCATACACTAACATGACAGAGACCCTAAATGTACTCTACATGTAAATTATCAAAATTGTCTTCCATTTGCAAATTGGGGTAAAATAAACAGGGCAAATACAGATTAAACCTTCTGATTCTTAAAAAGGTCATTTTTCACTTGGAATTGTAAGGTCCTTTCTGGCAGATCATTAATTCAAGCATTAATTATCAAGAAATACAATCACACAAAAAAAAAAAATTGGTGTTGTAACAATTTGTTGATGTTTGAGAGCATTTATTTGATGTTTTAGGATGAATATTTTTTCTTGGTTAAATTAAACATACAAGACTGTGCTAAATATTTTGTCCTGTGCAGATGTTAATTTAATGTAATTAATATGGTAATATTTAATAGTATATTGAATTAGATGAATTATTGAGTTATATTTATTGAACAATATGTCCCATGAATTAAATTACGTATTTGCCCTTCAAGACTTAATATCACATTTAAAGACTTTAAAAGAAAACAGACAATGAGCAAATGAGTTTAATAAACACTGAAAACTGTTTGACTGACTAAATATACACAAATAAAAATAATTCACATTTAATATATAACTTTTTTAATAATTTTTTTTCAACTATTTAAAATGTAACATTTCATCTTAATTCTTCTAAATCATCACATTTACACACATCTTTTCAGTTTCAGGTTTCTCCTCGTTTTTGTGTGGTGCAGCATTTTTTAGTCGACTTTGATTTTGTGTGTGTGTGTGGTTTTTTTTTTCTGTTATTTCGTGCTGTCAATGGAGCAGTTTGGCAAAGAAAACTGATCCTGATTGGTCCGAAATGAGCTTGTCTCTATAAGTTTTTTTGTTTTTATTTTCTGTGAGCCAATCAACAGGTTTGTTTTTGTAGAAAATGTTTTTTCAAATAAAAAGTCTTAAAATGTAAACAACTTTTAAAAAACACCACATCATGTTAAATGAGTTGTCATTTTATAAGAATTTATGAATAACTCAATTTTGAGAATAATGTCAGATAGAACCCTATAATTCCAAAGTGACGAATTGTGAAAGATGGTGTTATGTTCGACAGTGATCTCACAAGGTTTGCAGTGTGATCTCTATATGCATCCAAAATATGACAGCTTATACCAAAGCTGCGAATGGATGTTACAGCCAGTGGATTTAACTGAATACAGTATTTGTCAAATATTTTAGCGAGAGCAGAGCTACAGTATGAGAAACTGTATATTTTAGAGAGTGATTCCAGTTTTGTGTATGAGTTAATCACTTCACATTGGAGAATCCATATAATGTAAATGTAAATAATGTGCTTTTGGGGTTTGGCTCAGAGCCTTGTAAAAGGTGCCATGGAAAATGCCTCAAATAAACTTTAAACTAAGAAAGACTTCTCTGAAATTGCCAATAGTGTGGTTAATTAGCAAGAATGTCGCTGGTTCGAGTCTTGGCTGGGTCAGTTGGCATATCTGTGTGGAGTTTGCATGTTCTCCCCGTGTTGGCGTGGGTTTCATCCGTGTACTCCGGTTTGCCTCACAGTCCAAAGACATGCGGGACAGGTGAATTGGGTAAGCTAAAATTGTCCGTGGTGTATGAGTGTGAATGAGAGTGTATGGGTGTTTCCCCATGATGGGTTGCAGCTGGAAGGGCGTCCACTGTGTAAAACATTTTTTGAATAAGTTAGCGGTTCATTCCACTGTGATGACTGAAGATTAATAAAGGGACTAATAAATAAAGAAAAATGAATGAAAAACTAGAACAATTTATGTGGTCCCATGGGTGCTCGAGATTGGCACCTATGACTTGATCCATAATGTTTAAAATCTATTTATCAGAGAACATTCTATATAAATGTGTAGTGTTAGATCACAGTATCCAGCCCCGGATGCTAGAGCTTGTCAGGAAATGTCAGTTTTTTTCAGGTAAGTCAGCAGAGTTTCCAATACTCAAACTTGTTAACCAGTATTTAACTGAATTAACCGTCTATCAATATAGGAGTTGACTGTGGAAGGAAGCCAAAGAAGAGCAGAAGCAGGAGACGAAGTGATGATAATAGATGGGCAGGGTTTATTCTACAATCTTTGTTGCATTTGTTTCGGTGCGCTCTCATACTTCGTCTGAACAGCACGGACTTAACAAGTGTTATTATACATCAGGCCACAAGACTTCGAATCAGAGACATACCCTCATATCTCATACCAGCGGAGAGGAACATTTCATGAAACAACATCAAAATAAAACCTAAAAGCAGAACAAGTGTAAGATATGTTTAAAATAAAGAAATCAAATCAATAGACGATTAATATAATAAATGATGAACATAGAATAGGAATTAAATAAATAGACTAAATTAATAACTAAGATTTATAAATGATTATAAGACTATAACTGATATTATTAATGCAAAACAAATAATAATAAAAAACATGATATAATGTAGAATTGATTTCATTTAAAGCATACACAGGTTATCTCAAATTTCAGATTCTGCATTAGTCTATTACTTCCATGACCCCTTTGAGCACCTGTTTTGTTAGCATTTGGGTGGACAATCCCTTTAAATGCCACTGCCATATCATGTCACCTAACCTATAACCATGCATTGTGCCAGTCAGTTTGTTACTTTATGTTTGGTTGCCAAAATGTATGTCAAACACTCTCATTTTCCTCATCAGTCCTGTTCATGAATGTATTTTGTTCACCCCATGCTGCCTGTAGCACAAAATAATTCCACCACAGACTTTGCCAACTTTAATTCCTTTGGAAACGCCAGTGTATCATCACATTTTGGCACATCACCCCCCTCAAAGCCTTCCCTCCAACAGCCCCACACAGGTACCACACCCCAACCCATTCATTGTGTATTATGCTCTTGTGTACTTTCATTTCCTCCGATGGCTGTTACATAATGAAATCATATACAGTACTTCATCAATGTGCCTCTTTCCTGTACAATGCCTGTAGTTAAATGACACCTGTTATGCTATTTTTGCAACATGTAACATAATTCTTGGATGTCTCCAGAATGTGTTTATGATTTTTTTTCAGCTCAAATAAACCAGAGGTTACGCTGTTCTTAAATGTCTTTTGTAATGCAAATGAGCTACTGCTTCTCTTCTCTTTTCAGAAAAAGGTTGACCCTTTACAGTTCGAGTTTCTGATACTCTCAAAACAAAATCTCATCATATACAGTTGAAGTCAGAATTATTAAACCCCCTTTGAATTGTTTTTTTTTATATTTTCCAAATAATGTTTAACAGAGCAAGGACATTTACACAGTATATCTGATAATGATTTTACCTCTGGAGAAAGTCTTATTTGTTTTATTTCAGCTAGAATAAAAGCAGTTTTTAATTTTTTAAAAGCCATTTTAAGGTCAAAATTATTTAACAAATTTAAGCTATGTGTTTTTCAATAGTCTATAGAAGAAATCATCAGTATACAATGACTTGCCTAATGACCCTAACCTGCCTAGTTAACCTAATTAACCTAGTGAAGCCTTTAAATGTCACTTTAAGCTGTATAGAAGTGTCTTGAAAAATATTTAGTCAAATATTATTTACCGTCATCATGCCAAAGTAAAAAAAATCAGTTATTAGAAATGAGTTATTAATGTTTAGAAATGTGTTGGAAAAAAAAATCTGCTCTCCGTTAAACAGAAATTGGCTAAAAAAAAAATAAACACAGGGGCTAATAATACAGTGGGGCTAATAATTTTGACTTCAACTGTGTATTGTGCTCACTAGACATCATAAGTGTACTATTGGCAGCTCTTAATATCCAAATATATTTGAAGCATACAAACATAAATCTTTTTCATCTTTTTTGTATCTGTTACAAAAACCGTTGAACACAAACAAGGTTTATTTAGGAAAAAAATGCACAGGTAACACGTATGACATCAGTAGATTATCCGGAACAGGCTATTTATGGATACTGCTTCTGGTTTATAGGGATTATTAAAGTAGGAGCTAGTGAATATTTAACATTATAGGTTGGTGGTTTATACACACACAACCATGGTGATTTGGTTGTGGCTGGACACATCAGTCTGTAAATGTCAATATTTATATTAATAATATATCTTATAGACACCTATATGCTGTAAAACTGCAGGTTAGCCATGTTTATATATAGTAACTTGTATTTAAATGTAACTTATTTGATTGTAATGCAATAATGTGCACCTTTTGTAAAGCTGCCTTATAGCTTTTAATTATTGTAAAAAGTGTTGTACAAATAAACTTCAGTTGACATGAATTTAATTTTTGCCTCTTTTTGCATAATAAAATAAACAATAACATTAAGTAGAACACAGTACAAGGTCATTTCACAATACATAGAATATCAGACACAACATAGTACATTTTCCTCCCAAATGCTTAAGAAAAAAGTAAAATATATTATAGCCTCCACAACTCTGCGCTTGTCGAACTAAACCAGCCTATAAGGAGTTCCAAGTCAGCGTTGCTAATAAAAAGTCTTATTGGATTCCAGGTTTTGAAAAATCTATTTTGTCAGTTTGCCAACCCATATCTCAGTTCAACACAAGGTTGACACATAAACCAGATTTCAAAAACGGGCGCATATTCAGACGTCCTATGTGTAATTGCTGTATTAAAGTGAATTTGTGCATAACAGATGCTCTTTAATGAAGATAGTTTGGCAATAAAATTTTAAAATAATAATAAAATATATAATAAAAAAGTAATAATAATGATAAATAATTTTATACATTTACTTGCTTACACCAATGTCATTAGAGTAGTTGAACATAAATTTTACTTAAAAATCCAATAGATGTTTACATAGCCATCATTAATTTAATGGCCTCCCTTCTAAGAATATATCCCATATATTCTCTAACTAACTATGTAGCCCTATATAACACTTAAAAAAAAAAAAAAATTGGATTCTATATGTGATTATTTTATTCACTTGTGTCTTTGTTATTTTAGTCAGTAATTTAAGATTTTTGCTCTTCAGGAGGAGGCATGTCCGTTCCTCCACTACCCAGTATGCCTCCTGCACCACCTCTGGCTGGTTTATCAAGAGAGGACCGTTATGCTGCGCTGGCTGAGCTTGACAGTGCCCTCAGTATTACCATCCCCGCACAAGGGTAAGTTATTTCTAGCACAATATAATGTTTTAAATACAGTATTGCAGCATCTATTGTTGTCTTTCTAGTAGTTTATTTTAACTTATGTTCATGTATACATTTTCATGTGTGCATGCATTACCAAAGTGGTTTTGGAGGCGTCCCAGGAGCTCCTGCACCGCCACCTCAGCATGGACTGCCCAACATGCAACAGGGTTTTGCAGGTGGAACTTTTACATATTTTATATGTAAACTAGTTGTAATAATCAGTGTTAGTCCTTTCCAAATTGAAAATGATCATCATTTACACACCCTCATCGCACTCTGAGGCCATAAGAAATGTAATCATTTGGGAACACAAGTTTAAACAATTTTGAGAGATTTTGTCTGACTTTTCAAAACATGCATTTGTACATTTGAGCTCTATTGAGCGGGTCCTTACAATCACTGCTGATTGGCCAATGTGTTCACATGCTCAATAGATATGACTGTGATTGGCTCTAATGATCATCGCTGAACCCCCTTCACTGAGGGATTAGAGTGATAAATGGACACTGGACCATTCAGTGAAAATCTTGTTCACACAAAACTGTAGCTGTGTCTCTTTTCAATGGCTGCATCCTCAGAAGAATGCATTAGAAGGGCATTGAAGTCATTTTGGCAAAACGAAAGCTGTCTTAAATCGAAAAGATTAAAAGGCTCTTTCAAATGTAGCCTCCAAATACATTTTTGTAACCGGTAATGAACGATACAACCAGTGGCCAGTGTCATAGGATACAACATCAATACGTTGATACCGGCAGGACGTTTTTAAAAGAAAACTCCCGAGTACAGTTTTAAATTTACAGTATAATTTGGGTTTCATTTATACTTGGATATATAACTAAACACCCTAAAAGCAAAATGACTACAAAATGCCTTACTAGGAAGTGAATTTATTGACAGTTTAATTTTTTTTATTTGTACATATATAGTAAATATATTCATGCACAGTCAATATATTTATTTTCCTCAGATTAATGAAGGGTCTAAGCCAAAAAAGAAAATGAATAAGTGAATATAGTCAATATATTTATTCAGTACGGGATCCTTTTTTTGCCTTCACATTGCTTAATATAAGTTTTAAAATCTGATTGAGATAAAGGAAGCACAAACGTTACTGTTACTCATTAACAGCAGCTGTTATGGTTGCTAGGTGATGAGATCAGTCCTCTGTGGGTTAGGTTGTCTAATTTGACAACTCTCAGTTCAGCCTGATGCTGCGTTCACACCAGACACGGATGAAGCATCAAGAGTGAGTGATTTACACGTTAAGTCAATGCAAAGACTCAAATAGACATCCAACTACACGCTCAGACCTGCAAGCTCACATCAACACTTTCAGACCTATCATTTTATCAGACAGTGCCACCTGCTGTTGGTTCGGGTGAAGCGGCAAGTACGGAGACCCAACACTTTCGAGACAGTCCTCGCTGCAGCCCGCAGCTTGATGTACTGGACCAGGTCCACTACGTAATAGACGACCGCCCCTACCCTAAACCCAACTCTCACAGTAGTATGGGCGTTACCTCAGTGGGCGGTACAATATCCACAACAAATGGGACCTGATCCGGTACATCATCGTGATTACAGACTGCAGGCCTGCAGCTTCATAATGTTGGCGAATAAGGCAGTGCAAATCACGCGATTCAAGCAAATAAAGCGGTGTGAGTTGAGCTTTTTGCACTTTTAAAATGTATGAAGTTGGAAAATTTAAACTTCACCGGACATTCACGCCGCGTTAACCTATCAGGAGCTTGCTCTGGACAACAGCTCAAAACTAGAGTTGGTTCAGTCTTAAGCACTGCTGAAATCTTCCATCATCCAGGTACTGTTTCTGGTGGAGTTGATGAACCCGGAGCTGGGTTTACTTCTAAACGAATCTAGTAGATCAGACATGGCTCCGAGCGAATGTACTCTGTTTTTCAGCCTTCTTAAAGCACACAAAACACAGCTAATCTCTCAATAAAATCCATGTTAGCCATTTAGCAAAGAAGCTAGAGTCACTGGGCTGACAGAAGCCCTGCCCATGATGTGAATCTGCGTCTATTGTGAAGTGAATGAAGGGAATTTGATGTGTGAATGAAGCGTGTAAACTCAAAATGTTCACGTGTCTATTCACATACAAATAGCGCGTTTGTGCAGCGCATGACTAAACGTCATTGATTCTCACAACGTCAAGCAAGCATCTTCTTACCAAATATGAATGCTTCCTTAAATGGATTTTTTTGTCACTTAATGAGCATTTTGAAGCATCAGAGGTTTAGATGACAGATATTCAGTGAAGGGGTCAAAATTGAAGTGTTTTGATGATGAACTTTTTTGTTATGGGTGTAGATGAACTAGGGTGTAGATTGGTAAATGATGGCAGAATTTACATTTTGGCATTAACTAACCCTTTAAGTCATTTAAACTGATTCAACGATTTCTATCATGCAGCTGCTCCCTCCACAAACCCATTCGTCGCTGCTGGGATGGTTCAGGAGCCCATGTCTACAAATCCTTTCCAAACCAACGGACGAGCCGCTGCTTCAGGTAAAACCTAGCTTTGGTGGAGATCAGCATGCCCCGTTCTGTGTTTGTGTGTCCACTCAAGGAATGAGCAGATGAAACATGCTACTCCTCCTCTGGTCTCCTTTTATTTACTTTAGCCTCATTTGGCACTGGCTCCATGAGCATGCCAGCTGGCTTTGGGAACACAACCAGTTACTGCCTGCCAACCAGTTTTAGTGGGACCTTCCAGCAGCAATTCCCTGGCCAAGGTCCCTTTCCCCCACCTGCAGCCTACCACCAACAGCCCAATGGTATGTGAGACTATATTTGTGTTTTTGTGAGTGTGAGGTGGCCCAAACCCCCCAACGGCTTATGCCTTTCTTTTACGCATACTCTTCTAAGTCATGAGAAAGGCTGTGTTTGTATTGTAGAAGCATCAGTGGTTTTGCTTTTTTCGTGCTTCGTTTACGTGAGTTTTGGTGTTGCATGTGTTGGAGTAGCAGGTTCAGTGCTTTAGCGTTGAGGTGGGTTTTTAATATCTGTCAGTGTAACGCATCAGTTCCATGGACTTTTCTCTTTCACGGTCCTGCTCAGGGGGGTTTCCAGCCTACGGACAGGCCAAACCTATGGGCAATTATGGACAGGCGGTCACAGGACCTGGCATTTCCAGCAACCCGTTCATGGTAAGCAAGTCAATGGCTGTGAAATAATCTAAAAAAAAATGAAGGACATGTGATTGCCAGTTTTGACACGTTATTGGACATTCATGCTCAATTGGTTGAAATGAATGTGTAAAATCACTCCCTGACATTAGATGACACTATTGAAAAACAGAAATACCATAATGGCTGATTTATACCTCTGCATCGAGCACACACATGTTTCTCCATCAAAACACTCACACAGCCCTCGCCGTGGCTGACGCTAACATGTACCTCTCAAAATTTAACTACACATTGCAACACAACGCATAGCTCAAGCTCTGTGATTAGTTCTTGTGGTGAGTGTGGGCAGTCCTGAGAACTACGAGCCTGATGAATCGAGTGTTTTCAAATGTGGAGTCTCTTGAAGGAGCTTCAGATGGATTTGTGTTTACTTTAGGATTGAAGTTGTTGCATGTCTGCCGGTTCTCGCCTCTGAATGAGCAAGTTTTAGCTACCTGTACATTAAGGTAGCGTTCAGAAAAAACAACACCTGTGAAGAAACTCCACACAGAGGAACATAAATACCTTCTGCCAGCTACTGTTTCGGAAGTGTTATTGCAGAGCAACACAGAGCAGCAAGAAGTATAAATGCACAGCTACGCACATGGCAAGCACTGTGGGTCATGCCGATCACGCGATGCAGAAGTATAAACCAGCCTTAAACACAATTAATGTGCAGCTTTAAGTTTCAGATAATTACTTTTATAGAGAAAAGGTCACTTTCACACATTTGCTTGTGTATTTATCGCTTTAGAGAGAGCTTGAGTCACACTTGTTCGAGCTGTCGGACTGTGATGTGAAAAGAGTTGGGATAAAAAGAGATGATTAAATTGAGCGATTGCTTTATATTTTGTACAGAAAGGTCATGTTTTAATCCTCTATTTGTCACATACAATAACATGATGCAATTTCGCAGGTCAGAGTTCACCAAGATTAAATGCAGTGACATGCATTAACGGTACTAGCCATGAAAAACAATTAAGAGAAATGAAATGGCATTTTATTCCTGGCGTTTTGAACATAGTATGCCCTTTGTTTAGTCAAAAGATGTTAAAGGGGCAGTAGGTGATTTCCTTCAGAAAGATTTTTTATTGTGCTGGTTGAAAGTCTGTTCACATTCCAATAGTACAAGTAAATGATCTAAATCTATTTAAATGTATTTTTATATTTTGGGTAAGGCATAAGACAAAAATAAATTTGTCCTATTAAAATTTGTCTGCCGACAATTCCTGTAATTCTGATAAATAGCCCAAACTGTGTCAACACATGGAGATTTGTACATCTGCGCACCTGTTCACACAGTTAGTGTGCGCACGAAAAAGTTATGGCAGTAGAAACAAATGCTGAATCAACTTTTTAAAACCTTAAATCAATATTGGAGTTACTTTTGCACGCTTTTAGACCGGTTTTGTAGATTGTGTTGTATTACGAATGGGTTATATGCACTGAAATGTTGTTAAATGCACTGAAATGCAGCCATCTTCTGGCGAACGATTCCTGTGATTATTTTCAGAGCTATTTTTCATTACCTTATTAGCAGGGTTCAACTTTAAGGACATTTTTTACTGGCTTGACTCGACCAGTGGTTCCGATTTTTACTTGCCCTGCCAAAATTTTCAATGGTCCCACGAAAAAAAAAAAAAAAAAGCTATTTCTTAGCCACATATTTTAAATAGTGTGTCAAAAATAATGTCTGTGAATCTAGAAGTTAAATATTTTTTAATGTTAAAATATTTAGCGGTAAAATATAGCTGTATGAAAAATGTTCAGGTATTTTATTGCAAAACAAAAGGTTGCTGACTTAAAAGTGACAAACAATACAAAACATCACTTCATTTTCTTCGTTGTGTTGTACCCATGTAAATATGTTTCCACAACATAAGAAACAGACGTTTTCTTTTAGCCTCCTAATTTGATGTTGGCGTCTCTTCACTGTATTGGTTTTTACCAGGTTACAGAAAAAAATAAGATGCTTAAAACATCCAATCAGATAAAAGGAACCAAAAAGCAATATGGTGTTTATGACTTCATAGAAAAGGTAGCATTCAAAGACTTAAAAGTACAAAGTGTTTCTCGATTCTAAGACTGTATTTGCACGCAATTGACAAATAGTCGCAGGCAAATTAAAAATTTTTGACAAGACAGCAGCACTGGCCTGATCGGGCCAGTAACGACTCTCTCTACTGACCCGAACATTTCTCACGCTGGCCCTGGGCCATCGGGCAGTCCTTATTGTTGAACCCTGATTAGTTTCATAAGGAACCTATACATCATCAATAAAGTAGATTTTTATTTAGTTTAACAACAAAACATAAGTAAATAGTGCTATCTTGCCTAACGTTAGCCTGCTTTACTGTAGTCAAGTTGGTTTTATATTCACAATGGTTCATTTTGAACAATGACTGCCTGTGATGCACTCCCTATATTGTTTACCATGCTACTCTGAATATTCGCTCTGAAATAGCATGTAAGTATGGCCTAGTAATAAGCATAGTTCCTGCATGCTGCCGGCCAACCATTAAGCAGAGTCACTTTAGGACAAAGTGCGAGAGAAAGCTCTCATACTAACGGTTAGCATTTTGGCAGATCACCTACTGCACCTTTAAAGTCAACAGTAATCACGCATGATGGTTGTCATTGTGTGCACGAGTCTTTAAGCTGCTTTAAACATGCTTAAGATATTTTCAAGTCTTCGTATATGCTTTAATCATCTTAGGTAAAATGAATGTATAATTGGATGTATAATTAGGAAATATAGCAATAACAATGTTATATAACAATGCTTCAATAATGCATTTTTAAAATGCCAACATGTTTTTCTGGATGCCATAAATTATGACTCACACCTTCAGAACAATGATTCATCATCCCCTCTGATGCTGACATCTGTGTTGTTTTTTGTTGTCGTTGTTGATTTCTCTTCAGGGGGGAGGCCCAGCAGGAACATACCCCACAGGAGGTTCCTCCACAAATCCATTTCTCTAAAGCGCTTCTTTTTGTTACATCACATCTCAGCTGCGTCATGCACACATTCCGCATCACCAATGCTCTAAAACATTGTCTTCGAGAATCTGAAAGTATTCAGATTTTGTATTTACTGCACTGAGTCTTCGACATTTCTAGAGAAAGAGCTGTGGATACGCAGGTGACGGTCTTCCCCACCCATCTGTGTATTCTGGACAAAACTCCACGATTGTCCCTCCTCATGTATGCCTTTGACTCAATAAGTAATGTTTTAAGCCTAGAAAGTAAGCTCCTTGTGCATATCAGCATTTGTAATCCTTTTAAAAACATGTTATTCACAAAGAGAAACTGTGACTGAACAGCAGAACACGATGGTGTCTAGGGATGCTGTGATTTAGCTGTTAAAAAAAACAACCTCGGTTTGTCCTTAGCACCCGCTCTAGCAGAAATGTTTCGTTCTGTTGAGGAAGAGACGCCACTGATCGCCTCATGGAGGTCAGAAAACGTGGTTTGGATGGAAACCTGACACCTGTTGAAAGAGCAGAGGAGCTCAGCACAAGCGGTTATGTAGATAAAAGCAGATTTCTACAGCACAAAAAGGCCGAGTAGATGTCAGTGGTAGAGTTCGCTTTTCTATGATCTCCCCTTGGGGTCTCTATAGCCGCACCTTTGGGAAATTTGCAGGTCTGACCTGCGGTTGTTCTCCGTCGATGGATTTTTGACCACATCAAACGTTACCATTACAGGTATACAAGTTAATGTGTACATATATAAATATATGTATAAAATATTAAATGATTTTTAACTACTGTGTTACATGTGTCTGTTTGTGCTTTTTTTCATTGCACAAAGATCGAGTTTCTAATTCTAATGTTTTTGTTATTACATACTGGGCAAGTGGACTTGCAGAAGTTACCGTTTACAATAAGGTTGTAGTAGTGTTTACTTACATGAACAAACAATGCGTTCGTTAGAGTACTTATGCCTCTGTACGTTGAATTAAAGTTGTGTTAGTGCATGTTAAATCTCTGCATTAAATAATATTAACAAGCTTGAATTTGGATTTTAATGATGCATTACACGTTGAGCTATAATTAATAAATCATAAATAATAAAGTCATATTATACAGTGTGAGCACAAAACAATAGAAACCATCTCAGATGTTTACCACTTGTCTACACTGCAAATATTATAAGCCATTAACTCTGAACCATTATAATCACAGCGTTATTGGTACATATTTCATTAGGATTTTAACATACAACCAATAGAAGACAACAAATCTCCAATAGGGAGACCTTATACAGTAGTTTCTATTAAAATCAATGTAAGTTCCATTATAGTTCTTGGAACTAGTTCTTTGAGGGTTTTTTTTATTTATTTTTATTTTTTTATTATTTGTTTATTTTGCCCTTTGATATGGAAAGGGGCATTATCTATGACAATATCTGAATTTTTTTTTTTAAGTTTTGTTACATTTGATTTTAATCCAGATGTGTAAGAAAAAGAGAAATAAACTTTTTAATATCATTATTATCAATGTATGATGATCAGCCTTCTTTTGGAAACTCTTTTGAATAAATCTTGTATCAAATGACTTCATATTTAACAAATCCACGAGATACGTGACCTGTTAAAGAATATGGACGGATCTGTAATTTGGAAGTGGCTTATGGCGCTGCTACATTTTATTTATTTTTTTTATTTTAACATGCATTAACATTAGGGTCAGTATGATTTTTTAATGTTTTAAGATAAGCTCATCCTGCTCACCAAAGCTGCATTTATTTAATCCCAAAATACAGAACAAATTGTAAAATTGTGAAATGCTATTGCACTATAAAATAACTGTTCAAAAGTAATTTGTTTAATTTAATAATTCATTCCTGCGGTTTAAAAGATGAATTTTCAGCTTCATTACTCCAGTCTTCTGTCACATGATCCTTCAGAAATCCCTCTAATGTATGTTATTGTTGTTATTTTTTTATTAATAATGTAATAGTAATAAAAACAATAATGTCTGGAGTAATAATTTCATTTGCAACCTCATACAATAAAAAAGCATTTATTTAAATTTTTTATAAATATTTTTAAAACATTGTACTTTAAAAAAAAAATGCCGCCTTAAGAATAATAAAAAAAAAACACCAGACCCTCAACTTTTCGCCGGTAGTGTATACAACCCATGTTTAACATAGTGGTGCTACACTAACTCTGTAGCCTGGGGGTTTGCTGATAAAAGACAAGTATCAGTACTAAAAAAACATGGTACCCCTTTTATCACCTAAAACCATGGTTACATTTTCAGAAGGCATTATTTTCAAACCAAATTATTCAGTTTTTAAAATCCAGTTCTCAATGTTAGAATGTAATACTTTGCAAAATAAGTGAATAAGTTTAATCCATATTGGAGCAAATAAAAAACAGATGGACGGAACAAATTGAATTAACATGCACATGCTGAAAGACAGATGTTTTTTCTTTTTTTGATTCACCAACTGTTCTTGCATGATTGGTCCTTAAAATGTTCTTTATAATGTTTTTTTTTTCCTAAATAAAGAATTTAGCAAGTGTATAAATAGAATATTAATGATCAAATTAATTTATTCATTTATTTATGTAACTTTGCTATGTCAGTAAAATACTCCTCCAAGTTATGTCATATTTTAATATATGACAATTTGGAATAAACTTCCATTGCCATACAACACTATCTTCTGTTCCACACATTGCCAGTGTGCCTGCAGTTTCATGAAGTCATCGATACTCCTCTAAAAAAAAAACAAGTGTCCATTTCATCCTGTTGTGGCAGAACTTCAAGTAAACAGGCTATGAAAACAACAGTATTATTTATTTTATTACATGTTGCATTTTGTAATACCCTAAATGTTTTCTAAAATGTTGTTTAGACTATGTATGAAAGACATACAGTGGAAGTCAAAATTATTAGGCCCCCCTCCCCCATTTCTGTTTAATGGGGATAAGATTTTTCAACACAGTTTTAATAACTCATTTTTAATAACTGATTTATTTTTTCTTTGCCATGATGACAGTAAATAATATTTTACTAGACAATTTTCAAGACACTTCTATACAGCTTAAAGTGAGATTAAACTGCTTAACTAGGTTAATTAGGTGAGCTGGGCAGGTTAGGGTAATTAGGCAAGTTGTAAAATGGTGGTTTGTTCTGTAGACTATCAAAGGGGCTTAAAGAGGCTAATAATTTTTACCCTAAAATGTTTTTTAAAAAATTAAAAGCTGCTTTTATTCTAGCTGAAATAAAACAAATAAGACTTTCTCCAGAATAAATAAAATATTATCATTAATAATAATAATAATAATTTCCTTGCTCTGTTAAACATAATTTTGGAAATAGTAAATAAAGAAAAAATCAAAGGGGGGTCTAATAATTCTGTCTTCAACTTTGTGTTAAGTTGCTTTATATTTGTAGTACAGCATTCTGATACAAATGGATGGTCAGGGTTGTTTGCTTTTTCATGAATGTTTTTTTTCCCTTTACTCCATAGTTCAAAAATCACAGAACAATTATATAATAATATAACATGGGACATTAAATTAATGTAAATGAATATACTACTCAGTAAAAAACTTAAGAATGTACAGTAGAACAAAACTGTGAAGTTTGATGCATAAATGCTGCTATCCTGCAATAGTCAGACAAATTGATAACGTACTATAAAAGAACCACTTTCAAGTGTGTTTTGGATGTGTTCCTTCCTTTTAAGGGCTCATTAAATGGCCCATAATAGCAACACAGGCTCAGCGTGAGATGAAGATGATCTTTCCCTCTGAAAAATAAGATGACGTAGTGGAGTCTGTTGTCCTGGTAACGCGTCAACTGTGTCCAAGCGGGAATGGCGAGTTTGCTTGGAGAAACTCTGTTTGAGATCAGTGGACAAGGTCCTGCACCCATGAAGGACTATTTTCACTTTGCAATAACAAAGTCTGAGGTTTGTCTAGTGATTTTTTTATATATTGTTAACTGCAGTGCGTCACTTTTGTGGCAGCTTTATGACCAAAGATTGCTGTTTGTATCGTTAAGACGTTAACGTGTTCTCCCGGTTCCAGTTTTAGACACAGATGTTAAGTTACCGATGTAACGTTAGTTAAACTATATAACAGTGTTACAACATTGTGTTTTTATCAAGAATTGTAGACTTTAGCTGTAAACTTTAATTACGTTTAGTTAGCTAGTTTTAAAAGGGATAAATTAGTTCACTCAAAACAATCAGAACTGGGAATTATGTCATAACGTTAGTTTACTCACCCATGACTTGTGACAAATGTTTGAGTTTCTCTTGTGTTTAACGTAAAAGAAGCTTTTGAAAAATGTACAAAAACCGATAACCATTGACTAAAACAGGTGTGTCAAACTCAGTTTCGGGCCGCAACCCACATTTCAGTTCCAACCCTGCTTCGACACGCTTACCTGTAGGTTTCAAACAAGCTTGAAGAACTGAATTAGTTTGATCAGGTGATTATTTAGTTAAAGCTAAACTGCAGAGCTGCGACCCCTTGACACCTGTGGACTAAATTGTTACAGTGTGTTTGTTTTCATGGGACTCAATGGTTACATGTTTCCAACATTTTTCAAAATTTCTACTTTTATGTTTAATTTTTTTTAAACCCTATTAAGTGTATAAGGAAATATTCCACTAAGTGACATTACAACAATTATTATAAGTTATAACAACAGACAAACTGCAGCCATTACAAAAACCTGATTTTCTTTTCATTTGTCTCATCTTAATTACTATGATGGAAACGCTTCACTTCAGGTTATCTGGAGCTGGTGGAAGATATCTTTGAGATTAGGCTGCAAGAATGCACCACCTGGACAACTGAGAGAAACACATGAAGACTTTCTAGAAGACAACCGACTGCAAAGTAAGTTTTTCAGACATTTTTAGGCTAGGCCAGGGATTTTAAAACAGTGATCCACAACAAAGAGTTATAGAGAGTCCTTGGAATTGCCTGAAAAAAAAAGTGTGAAAGTAAAGACAAATGTTTACCAAAAATGACTTTGCAATTAAAAAGTTTAGTGAATTGTCTGAAATTGTATTTAAATAAGTCAATATTATTAGCCCCTTTAAGCTATTTTTCCCAGAGTCTACAGAAAAAACCATCATTATACAATAACTTGCCTAATTACCTTAACCTGCCTACAGTGCCTAGTTCACCTAATTAACCCATTTAAGCCTTTAAATGTCACTTTAAGCTGTATAGAAGTGTCTTGAAAATTTTCTAGTAAAATACTATTTACTGTCATCATGGCAAAGATAAAATAAATCAGTTATTAGAAATTAGTTATTAAAACTAATATGTTTAGTAATGTGCTGAAAAAAATACCTCTGTTAAACAGAAATTGGGGACAAAATAAACAGGGGGGCTAATAATTCTGAATTCAACTGTGTGTGTGTGTGTGTATGTGTGTGTGTGTGTGTAAGAAAACTTTAAATGTATAGATACTTTACGGTACATAATCTAAATATTTTCTTATGATTTAGACAGATTTAAAGTCTTTCACCATATAATATAAATCTTTATTTGAGAAAATACTGTATAGAAAGTTTTGAGATGGGGCTGCATGCAAAGGGATCATCATATCTCTGGCATGTGAATAATTGAATGTCCCTGTGCTTGGCTTGTGCTAACATTACTGTGCTTTTTTTTTTGGTATACACTTAAAACTCAATGATAAACTGAATAATCTGCTCTTTTTTCATTCAGATCAAGTGGCCATGGTATTTGGTTCTCACATCTTGCAGTACTCCAAAAATTTATGTCAGGGATACTATGATTTCATTGCCCGTCTCCCCAATGCTTTACTTTTTAAAATCATGGGATACCTTGACCTTGAAAACATTTCAGTTCTTTCACGCACCTGCCGTAAATTTAGAGAGGTAAGACCAAATGCCATTCTGGTTTCAAATGTGATCTTTAAAGCTGGAGTTTGTATCTTTTTTTTCATAAATATTTTTTTTTATTTATTATTTATGCAAATTATTTACATCACAAACATAACCAGCTTGCTTGTGTTTAATACTGTCTTCTTACCTTTGCCCCATTTGTTTTTAAAAGAAGTCACCAAAGAAGCTGGATGTATATTTGCAGTAATAAACTGCTAATAAACATCCCAAAATACATTATTCCACTCTGTTTACACATAGGAAATAAAATAAATGAATACATTAAGGTGCCATGAAGATCCTTTAAATAAAGCGTCAGAAGCAGAAAAATCTTTAAATCAATTTTACTTTAGGATTGACTTTTTCGTATGCATGTTGAATGGTCAGTGAAGTGTATGTGCTCTTAACTGATTATTTTCCCTCCAGCTTTGTAACTCTGAGGAGTTCTGGGAGCAGACAGTGAGGAAGCATTGTGACACAGTGACTCCAACAGTGGAGGCTTTAGCTAAGGAGGTTGGCTGGAAGACAATTTTCTTCACCAACAAGCTGCAGCTGCAGCTGCAGATTAGCCGCCGGAAGCAGAAGGACAATCAGCCCTGTGAGGATAAAGATGAGCCCAGTTCCTCTTCAGTAGCCCTGGAGTAGTTGGTTAAAGGCCCTATTCAAAGCTTATTTTTTTGTCTAAAAAGATTTTCTTGGTAGAAGTAGAACACAGTTTTTGCTTAATGAATGACGATTTCACTGTGTACTTTTTATGTATACATCTGCAAATATTACACATTTTCTCATATCTCAAATATTTTTTGATCATATCAGAGCCAAAACATCTAATTGTCTGGCATATTTATAGCAATTAAGAGACTTTTATAATACACACATGACAATTTTTCTACTTGACAATATACCTCACACACTACAACAGTATTGTCCTGTGCAAATGCCAATATTTGTGTACAACAGTTTCCATAAAATAGTTTAAATATATTAAAATTTTAATCATTATTCAGCTGTTTCCTAAAATCACTGGGTGGGGGGGGGTGGGGGCAGGCCCCCAATCATAGCTTCAAATGATAGAATACATAGCAAACAATAGAAAATATTGACAATGAAATAAAAGGTTTAACCTATTAAAAATCAAAGGCCAATACAGAAATTAAATAAAGCTATAAAATGTATTTAACTTTTAATTGTATTCGCATATTGATTAAAGTTACTATAGTTATTTAGTGAAGAGCAGCAAATGAATCTCTCATTGTGTTTTGTTTGATGACATAGGTGTCACTGTAAGAATGCACAGATCTATATGAATGAATGAATGAAGCATTCGACTACTTTAGTAACTGTTTGTGCTCATTTAAGAGAAAACTAGTTGTGTTTAAAATAATTTAAACACAACTAATTAGTCTAGTTTCCTAAAGAAACAGTTCACAAATTAATAAAATGGGCTATTTACACACCCACTGGTGAACTCACAACAAATTTTATGGAAGATTATTTTCCCTGAAACTGTGGTCCTGGTGATTTATAAAATGAAGTCTATGGCACCTTGAGAGTCAAAAACATATACAGGCAAAACAAAAGTAATATCTGTGACTTCAGATGATATATTAAGGTCTTATAAAGTGAAAGGTTCGGTCTATGCAAGAAACTGAACATTGTTTCCCAAAAAGAATAGATAATAGATGTCTGATAGATGTCTAAATATGGTCGTCTTGGCTAAAACAAGGATAAAATTTGGGCTGTCAGTGACAATCTAATAGACGTCTAAGAATAGGGCAAAACTATATAGAGTCTGTCTGATCTGTCTATTTGATGACTAGTCTAGTTTTGGGCTATTCTTAGATGTCTATTAGATTTCACTGACAGCCCAAGTTTAACCTTGTTTTAGCCAAGACAACTATGTTTAGACATCTATTAGACATCTTTAAAAATCTTTCTACGTTTAGATGTCTATTAGATGTCTATTGAACATAACATTGTTTGCTGAGGTACTACATTATTTCCTTTAGCCCACAACCTTGGCAAGTCGTTCTTGGTATGTGTGTTTACAACTGTCTGACTCTGTCATATAGATAAGAGATTTCTCACCCATATTAAATTGTCTTTTTTTTTAGGTTGAAAAATCCAGTATTAACTCAGGTACCATTTTGATCTACTCATCCTTCCTCTTTATTATATAACAGCACATCAGCGCATTGCATTATTATACAATAAGAAGACAGCACTCCACTGTGAGTGCTCAATTTGATGCTTCAAAGATAATTTGCTAAGACTGAGAATTAAAGGTGATTATATTGAAAATAATGTTCAGTTTCTTGTACCAGACATCATTACACTTAATATGAACCCAATTTTGACTCTCAAAGGGATGGTAAGAAAATGCATTAGAGACTCTTCTCTAGGACTCACCCATGTAAAAAACAATTTCACCAAAAAATCAATAAAAATACATTGAGTTATTAATATATTATATTTAAGAATTATAATTAAGAAAGTATATACATCTTAGATATATGCCTTTATTGGAAAAAAAAATCGAATTATTTTGCAGCTCATAGCTTCTCCACAGCCAACTGAGTGATAACAATAATTAGTGCTCAAACTAAATAAACCCTCCAACGCCAATCATATCTCAAATATTGACAGCCCCCTGGAGAAAAGCTGCAGCTATGATTGATCATTATAAATAACTGTATGCTTGAGATAACAAGCATTTTGTTTATTATGAGCAGGTGCTTAAAACACAACCCTCATATGTTCAGTTGATTACTATTGCATGGCATTGTGTCACAACACAGAAATAGACTGTGCGTTGAGGGGGGTGGGGGTGTTGGAAACCTGAGATTCTGTGACAGATGCAGGTGAGAATCACTCAAGCCATCTGTGAATAAGAATGACAAGGACCACAAGCAAGGCTGCTGTTAGACAAAACTGTTCATTTCAGATCCAAACAAGTCGAGAAAGAGAGTGCAGAGGGGACCTCGAAATGAAATATGATTTATTAATTAAGCTTTAGCAACAAGTGATTGATCAAAAATGACTAATACCAGCGATCAGATGGATTTGGCTTTTCTGCTTAAAGCAGGTGAGTGGAATCCTACTTAAATTATTCATGTTTTCTTGAACCTCACATCATCTCTTTTGTAGATTTCAGTTTTGAATCAGATTTTACTAATATTATGTTAATGAAATATTGTCTTTTTCATTTCCTTAGGGTATAGTAGCTCCAATCTTGCTGAAAGCAAGACGCTTTTGGAGACTGTAAAAGCATTTGTCCATTTTGGAGCTTTCATAGTCACCGGTCTCTTCACTTGCCTCATCACTGCAACAGTGCAGCACAGCCAAGATCTGAGGCAGAACCCGCGGTACGTCCTGTTGTGCCAACACTGCATCTGCGTGGCTGGCTTTAACATCATGGGTGCAGTTGTGCATGGTCTCCGCAGCCTACGTTGGCCAGTCTCTCGAATAATCTGCTGGATTCTTTTCGACCTGCAGGTGGTGATGGCACGAGGTTTGATGATCACCCTCACATTAATGTCCATCAGCACCTGTCTGTCTATTTGCATGCCACTCCGTTACCCCATTCTGGTCCAGCGTTTCCACCGTTGGGTCATGCTGGTGGCCTGTGTTCTCGCCTTGCTTAACCCCGTATTGTTCACCATTCTAGCCTGTTTGCGCTTTCCATGGGACTACGTGGTTGGTTTAGACACAAAGTGCTCTACAGCTTTGGAAGGCACTGCTTGCATTGCCAGTGCTGTTGCAATGCTGTTGCTGATGGTGCTTCTCATAATCATAAGCTATGTTGCTATTTACCTGGAAGGCAGACGTGCTGGTCATTTCACACGGTCCAACAGTAAGGGTCGCTGCACCATTCTCATCCACAGCCTGCAGATGAGCCTGCACATCTTGCCCTCCCTCATCATCATTTCCCGGCGCGTGGAGTCGCTCCCTGTGGCGATTTCGATTTTCATCCTCTTCAGTTTTGTGCAGTCTCTGAGCCCTGTGGTGTTCGGCTTGCGCTGCAAAGAGCTCTACAAGGAGATGCCACGTTTCTTTCCATGCCAGTGGGAAGCCTTTAATTGCCGTGGTCACAATGGAAGCATAGACACTACCAGCACTGGGACTATAACCAGTGCAGAAACTGGAGCCAGTACAGAGACTTGCATCTCCTCCTGTATGGTCAGCAACACCACGTGTAGCATTATCACAGAGCGAGAGGATGACAATGAGCTACAGACAAGTGGAACATGGTGAAACCTTTACCTAAAAACACAATAGGGAGATCAAAGAACAGACAAAAGGAGAAAAAGAGATCAGAGAATAAACAGCTTCAACAGATTTTTATTTGTTGGGACTTAAACTCAATGTTAGGCACCCCTGCATTAGATGCTATACTCAACAGCACCCTTTATAAGGTATGCTTCTTAAACCGATTGTTAATGCGTTTTTTTTTATTAGAACATCACATGCACAAGCAGCAACTCAATGTATTTAGGCATGCAGATGTGGTCAATGTGACCTTCTTAAGTTCTAAGCGAGCATCAAAGGAAAGGTAATTTCAGGGCTTGTTTTCGCCTGGTCAGTTCAAGCCTTTTATCTGATTGAAAAGCTGAGAAATTCGATCTATCCAATTTGTGAAAACCAATTTTGGGAAAATCTTTCCATTTTGTGATAACGGTTCACATTTGGCCATATAAATGCATCTCAGGCTGAGGTGTTGTAAATCGGTTCTTATAACGGATAACATCAACAGAAGCATCACATACATTGGAACATATTTAATTGTATTTAATTTAACAGAAACGTAAGCTATGTTTGGCTGCAGTACGCTCACACCAAGGTGCAGTGAAGGACTGGCCATCCAGAGCTAGAGATATATACACATATATACAGTACATATATCTAAGATCTGTAATTTTGCCGGTGGTCAGTATGCAAATATGTTATTAAATTACCAATTGGAACATGTTAATATATTAGTGACCACATGGCCATTGCCGATAAAGTGCATGTTTTTGTGTGCATGGAAACGTATTATCCTCCCTCCCTGTTTAATTTGATCTAATCCATGTCCTGGACACACACCTCCTGTCCTGCTTTCACTTCTCATTCTGGGAGCAATTCATTTGTGAATGAATATTCATTATTAACGACTTGTGTGAACCATCGATAGCTCTATGTCTCAATGTGCTTAAATGGTATGTATCATTTGTAATATTCAATAATTTAGGATGAAAAGTATGCACATTGACTTGCAGGCACTGGTATGTTATTAGGCAACCTTATACGTTACTTCAACATTTGTGAACTTATCCGACATTTATGCAAGTTGCTGGCACCAGTGTCTTGTCATATTTCATTTACATTGTTTGCTAATTTTATTCAACAATCTATAGCATAAGCATTTAGAATTTAGTGCAAGTTGGTGCTAATTTGCCTTATGGTGAATGCAGTAAGTAACTTTATTATCATCACTGACGTTAGTTGTTGAGCAGAGAAGTCTGTAACATACAAAAACCTAAAAAATGAAATCTTACCTATAAATTTATGCCTTTATGCAGTGTTTTCCTCGTTTACATGTTACAACACCCATACACAGCGCTTAAGTCCAGCATCTTCACATTGGCTTTAGTCTTGACTAGTGTGGTTGAATGACGTTTGTCCTGGGAGCACTGTACAAATATGGCGGCGCTATTGACGGATGCTCAGGGTCAGTATGCAATATTTAGTGTATATATCTGAGCTCACAAAAAGAGGGCTAGCTCCACGATTACTGTCTTTACAGGCTACATTAAATTTATGTCATAAACATACCTGTCATCTGGGCATTGTGTGTTACATGTTGACACCATATATCTGACTATGTGTAATACAATACATGCTTTAACAGCCACATGCATTTAGACCTGTCCAGTTGTATCTGGAATGCATCCCAGACCACCTTCTGATATGATCTGACCCCAAGCCCTTTAAAGACAGGCCTAAAATGATTAGCCTAGAAAGCATAACAGCTAACGCTAACTATGCCTTTATGGCAGTATACCCACAAAAGAGACCATGTGATTAATTGAGCTGCTGATTGATTGGTGCGTTTCACATTACCAAATTATACTAGAGTTACAGGTTTTCCAATGGTAATAAAAACATTTTCACCTCCACCATAGTAAGAAAATCTCTAGTTTGACCAAAGAGATATCTTCCTCAAATGCGTTCCGGCGGGCATACACACATGCCATTTTCACAACCGAATAGTGATCCGATAAAAAAAGAAGAAATGACCAGGTGTAAACAAATTTTAGATCCAGCATGCCTGAATTCACCCATCCGCTCATTAGTCAACCTCATAACAGAAATAAAGAAAATGTTCAGTGCAGGGGGCCTTCAGGACAGCATTGAAGACCACTGATTTAAAGGATTTTGAATGTGGCATGGTTGTGGATGCCAAACAGGCTGGTCTATAATTTTCTGTAACTGCTGATATGTGTAAGTGGCAGTGCTGTTGTTTTAGGATAGAGGCGAATACTCATATAACTATATGAGCTTAGGTCTTCAGAAGAATCTCCAAATACTTATCAAAACATCATGGAACCCATTTGTACTTGTAATCAGATTGACAAATACACATCTTAGATGTTTGTGAACCAGAAGTTGCTGAGACTGTTATTCAAGTATGTTGTTGCACTTCAAACTGAAATGGAGTATCAAGTAGGGGGCGGAGCTTTGTTTGCGCATCATATCATCACTTCAAACTAACGGCAAAGAGCTTACAATCACCAGAAGGTGACGCTCAATAGAGCGTTCCATTACAACAGCAGCGCCCAGCAACAGCCCTGCGATTCCTCCATTTTGGAGTAAAAGCAATTGGCAGTCCATTGGATCTTATTGCTGTCGTGATGGCAAGCAGCTTGTTTGTTTTTTATTTATTTATTTTAAAAGTACATTAAAGCTAAGATACAGTCAGAAAGACGACAATACAACACTTACTATCACAATCATCAGCACTTTTAATAGTTTACTAAACAAAGTCACTAAACAAACCCTCAGGTTGACATCAACAGAAGTACAGCCACTCTGAAGGTGAAAGCAGATGGTCAGATATTCACTGAAGATTTATCCTAGAGGTAAATCTAGAACGTTGTATAACTTATAGCTCACACTGTATGGAAAGAGGTGCAAAATAGTTTTTTTTTTTTTTTTCCTGTAGCCTAACCTGAGTTTCTGTAGCATTTCTGTACTTCTGTAGAAATATTAAATGATCACATTTGCATGCAGTTGTGTTTGATTTTGATGCTGTTGTACTGTACAAAATGTAAATGTAAAATAGTATTTTTCCGTATTGTGAGATTCGTTTATATTTTCCCCGATTTATTTGTGCTTTTGAATTACATTTTGGGACCTTGTTTTTTCCTCCAACAACTTTTAACATGGAAAAGTTTGAAAGAGTGACTTAATAATTATTAATAGTATTTAAATATTGTCTTGTGGTGGCACGGAGGCTCAGTGGTTAGCATTGTTGCCTCACAGCAAGAAGGTCGTGGGTTTGAGTAACAGCTGGGCCAGTTGGCATTTATGTGTGGAGTCTGCATGTTCGCTCTGTTTTTATGTGGGTAAGGGTGCTCCAGTTTTCCCCACTGTCCAAAGACATGCATTATAGGTGAATTAGGTAAGGTAAATTGTACAATTGTAGTGTATGAGTGTGTGTGAATGAGTGTGTATGGGTGTTTTCCTAATACTGGGTTACGGCTAAACATACTCTGGGATAGTTGTTGGTTCATTCCGCTGTGGTGACCACAGAAATAGAAACTAAGCCGAAGAAAAATGAATGAATGAATGAATGAACGAACTAACATTGTCTTGGTTGGTGTTGTAAATTGCCGTACAAAAACTTTGTAATAGTTCATTTACTATTATTTACAGAATTAATTTTCTTATACATTATATTATTTCAAACAACTAAAATGTCAATTAAACTGTGTAAAAATGTCAATTAAAAGTCAGTTAAACTGCAGAGTTGAATGTTCAACTACATAAATAAACTGAAAAGACTTGTGGATCACTAAATAAGGAAAATGTCACAGATTGTTTCAGGTTTTTTGTGTTCACATTTACAGTGATTTTCATTCATGTTACGTTATTTATTTGAAAGGTTGTTCTCTGTGGTGTAATAGTGTGCATCAAGTTTGAGCAGCAATTCAGAATCAGTTTGATTGTGAAGGAACTACATGAACAATTACAGCATTTTATACCATTTTATTGCACACGTCAAGGTTTAATGTATACAATTGAAGTCAAAATTATTAGCCCTCGTGAATTCGTTTTTTCCTTTTTCAATTTTTTCTCGAATGAGGTTTCACTTGTGAATGATTTTTCACAGCATCTCCAATAATATTGTTTTCTTTGTTGTTTTATTTTGGCTAGAATAAAAGCAGTTTTAAAAATTTTAAAAACAATTTAAGGTCAATATTATTAACCCGCTTAAGCTTTATATATTTATAGTTTTTTCCCTAACTTGCCTAGTTAACCTAATTAACCCATTAAATGTCACTTTAATAATACTATCTTACTAAAAACATCTGGTAAATATTATTTACTGTCATCATGGCAAAAATAAAAGTAATTATTTATTAGAAATGAGTTATTAAAACTTATGTTTTAAAATGTGTGCTTTCTGTTAAACAGACATTTGGGAAAAAATACAGGGGCTAATAATTCAGGAGGGCTAATAATTCAGACTTTAACTGTATATAAACTTAATGTAAATGTACCATGTAAGATACTGTCTATTTTTTTAAATATAATGTTTTCTGAAATATAACTAAGGGTTAATTTGTTTGATGTAAGTTATAAAATTAATTAAAATACTTTGTAATTTTTAATTAGCTAAAATTGTTTCTCCTGTTATTTAGTGCTTAAAAAACAATGTTTTGATATTATCATTTTTGTCAGTATCAGCGTTTTCTAAATATAGTTAAAGAGAGATGACACAAATTAAGATTATTTTCTGATGCTGCCACTTAAATCTTGAGTATCACATTCTATTTCACACTCAGCATGGCAAGATATCACTTTAATAAAGTCATTCTGTCAAACCCATATCCAATAAAGCCTGATTTTTATAACTTGTTAACAGAGTTTGTAATTTGTCTGAGAATGACAGGCCTTAGCTGTCTTTAAAAATGTACAACATCAATCAGGCTGGAATTGTATACGTCTGCTTCTGTAACACGCCCGGTGTCAGTGTCATGTATATTAACGTGTTCCATTGTCTCTTTTGTACTATTTGCCTGGTCATTGCATATACAACACAATCATGGTCCAGTCACTCTAAATAACACTCTTTCCAACAGAATTTGCCACAGCTAAATCTAGACTTTTTAAAGTTCAAAACAGAATAATGCTGAAATAGTATATGACAGTGTTTTCTAATTAAGTGGTGCTGAATTGTATGTATTGTATGATACTTATTCAAATTAATATTATACTTTCATAATTTTAAATGCAAATGTGATGATACTGTAAGCTATGTTTGTTTTGAAATTGTTAACGTTAATAAAATGTTGTTAATATTTAATGTTTTAAATGTCCTGTGATCTCTGTGTAACTTCTCTCTTCTCAATAACAAAAAAAAAATCTGATTAGTTTCATCAGTACAGCCACAAAAGGGTCGTTTAATAATAATTCATAACACAGGGTTTCCCAGTACTGGGTTGCAGCTGGAACAGGTATCTACGGCATAAAACATATGCTGGAGTAGTTGGCTGTTCATTCCACTGTAGCGATATAAATGATAAATAAGGGACTAAGCTGAAGGGAAATCAATGAATGAACTCAGAATAACATTAGTCATTTATTAATATATAAATATATATATGGAAGATTGTAAATAATAATGTTTTGGCATCATTAACCTAGATATTTTCTGTATTTAATGTCCATTTATGTTTAAATATGTTTTTTTTTAATGAAAATAAGGTATAAATCTTGAATTTGTTTTGTGTATGACATCTGTACAGGAGTGTGGTTTCAGGTTATATGTTTAGAGATGCTCTGACTGAAATTGATCCATGTTGACTGCTGCATCCATATGCGTTGACATTCAAAACAAAACCCCCTGTTTTTATGTCACAACACTCCTATTTCTCATTATACCTTCCTCAATATTTAACACTATTGCATCAAACTAACCTTTATAGCTTTAAAAAACATAAGCGTTTTGTCTCATATGCCGTCCACCTGGGAAACATATAAGATGGGAAGTCAGTTTATGTATGTAATGAATGTTTTTTCATGTGATGAAGAATGCATTAAAGTGTGTTGTTTGTTCGCTTATTTGCTTAATTCGTATTTACAGGAAAAACAATAATTAATCAGTATTAAAGAATGTGTGGAATTGTTATTTATATGTTCAGTTTCCCTGATTTCCATAATTTAAAAGAAAATGAAAAGAAATGAAACAGACATTTAAAAACATGCAAAACTAATTATAATATAAATATATATAGTTGAGCGACGCAGTAGGTAGTGCTGTTGCCTCACAGCAAGAAGGTCACTGGTTTGAGCATCGACTGGGTCAGTTGGCGTTTCTGTGTGGAGTTTGCATGTTCTCCCTGCGTTCGATTGGGTTTCCTCCGGGTGCTCCAGTTTCCCCCACAGTCCAAAGACATGCAGTACAAGTAAGTTGGGTAGGCTAAATTGTCCGTAGTGGATGAGTGTGTGTGTAGATGTTTCCCAGAGAAATAGGTTGCGGCTGGAAGGACATCTGCTGCGTAAAAACTTGCTAAGTTGGCTGTTCATTCCGCTGTGGCGACGTTGGATCAAGAAAGGGACTAAGCTGAAAAGAAAATGAACATATGGATAAATATATAAGGGTTGGACAATGGCCAATTTAGTGCTGGAGGTTTTGTGGCTAAATTTGACCCACCTGGTGGCCCACATCAAACCACAGCTGCCCAACTCAATGCAGAATTAAATGTGCACCTCTACTCTGCTTTTTCCACCAAGCCCTTTGTTCGAAGCTCAACAGGGACTATATGGCTTGGCTGCCAAACCTTTGGTCACATATGCCAATGCCAAACGTGTTTTTTTTTTTTTTTTTTGGTGCCAGCAGCGAAAATCTCGAGCTGTGGACAATGTGAAACATGTATTATTCTCTGATGAATCAACCTTTACTGTCTTTTCCACTTCCGGGAGAGTTACAGTGTGGAGAAGCTACAAAGAAGTGTACCACCCAGAGTCTTGCATGCCTGAAGAGAAGCATGGGGTGGATCAGTGATGGTTTGGGTTGCAATAGGCCTAATGCTTCTGCTAGAGGTTCACTTCACTTCCAAGGGCTACCGAACCATTCTGGAGGACCATGTGCACTCAATGGTCCAAACATTGTATCCTGAAGGCAGTGTTATTTATCAGGAAAATATTGCAACCATACACACAGCAAGACAAGTGACAGAGGGATTTGATGAACATAAAAGTGAAGTTAAACATCTCCCATTGCCTGCACAGTCACCTGATCTAAATATTATTGAGATACTTTGGAGGTTTAGGATGAGGAAACGTTTTCCTGCACCAGCATCACATAGGGGTCTGTTCACTATTCTGTGCACTTGTATCTGTCATTCCTAAGACGATTCGATGCCATATTGGCCAAAATAGGGAGATGGCTCTGGTTGCAAACATAATGACATACGCAAGCTGAGCTGCATGCGATGCTTAATGCGCATACCTAACCCGGCCCCACTACCCCTCACAGTAACGTCACTAGCTCTGTTGATGCATGGTGTCAGACTGCGTGTCTCGGCTTGCTTATGCAAGTCTTCAGTTAGATAATGTTGGCAAAAGGAGGCCCTACATCATAATAATACATTACTGTGGTCTAAAACCAGGCGTTTCTACGGTAGCCGAGAGCTTAACGTGCAACAATTTAAGAAAACGTGCAATTACAATAAACGCCATCCATTTGACAGCACATGTGCTGCAAATCCTCACAACACAAACACACTAAAAAACACTCAGCATTTCCGCACAATGCGAACAAATTAATAAAACGCTCTGCATTTTCTCACAGCACAACAAGAATGGAACATGTTTCAAGTGGATGCAAAAATTGATGGACGCCGCTGTACTGGGACTATTGCTCAGTGAAGTTGTAGGTGATCATGAAGAGTGAGTTTTAATTTTGTTTGTTTATTTTAACATCCTGATTCCCTGGTCTTTTGTATTTTATTAGTCTAAATAACCATATAGCCTAAATAGCAGGTCTGTCAAGTGTTAGGGTCCTCTTGAAACATTTCCATTGTGTTTCGTGCAGTTTTAAAGTATTGTGAGAAAATGCAGCGCGTT